AAGAGGCGTCATTTCATCCTCTTGTCCCCTAAAGGAGTGCCAGGGAGACACCAATCCTACTGGATAGAGATCCCCTGCTTAAGTTTATATCATAGCGCAACATAGAGTGATTATATCTCATTTCACCCCAAAGAAAAGTTGATTGGCACGTTGTATCAGAAAGAGCTTCCAACAAAGGACCTTCCAGAAACCTGGGGTCTAATTCTTCTTCTGACAGTTTTGCCTGGATGGGAGTTCGGCCAACTGCCTGATGACTCTGGGCCTCAGTTTGCTCAACTGCAGAATGGGAAGGAGAGACAGTCTCTCCACACTTGGAAGCTCAGTCCAGCACAGCAGGCAGCAAACACTGTATGCTCTGGAGTTATGCCTCCTGGATTCACAGTCCTCCCTCTCCTCACACTAGTGATGTAATCTTGAGCAACTTAGCCTTCATTGCCTGATCTGTAAAATGAACCCAGTTCATAAGACAGTTTTAAGAGTTAAATATGGCCAGGTGCAGTGGCTCATGCCTGTAATACCAGCGCTTTGGGAGGCCAAGGTGGGAAGATCACTTGAGGCCAAGAGTTCAAGACCAATCTGGTTCACAGAGTGAGGGCCCAGCTTTACTAAAAAATTTAAAAATATGCTGGGTGTAGTGGCATGTGCCTGTAGTTCCAGCTACTCAGGAAGCTGAGGCAAGAGGATCACTTGAACCAGGAGTTTGAGGCCAGCCTGGGCAACATAGTGAGACCCTGGCTCAAAAAAAAAATTAAGTATGTGAAATCAGATAAAGCTTTCATCAGAGTGCCTGGTCTTAGCTCTCCCACTAACCATCAGCCAGCCCCAATACCATCATGATGAGTGGGGGACAATGAAGAAAACATAAATGTTTGTGACTAGGCATTTACCACAAGGTTTAAACAGCTTTGCAGTACACAGACCTTTTTATTTGATGGAAGGTTTCAGAGAAATGTAGCCAGGTGTGGTGGTTCATACCTGTAATCCCTGCACTTTGGGAGGTCAAGATGGGAGCATTGCTTGAGCCCAGGAGTTTGAGACCAGCCTGGGCAACATCGCAAGACCTCATCTCTAAAAAATAAAAGCAAAAAAGTTAGCCGGGTGTGGTGGCACACACCTGTAGTCCCAGCTGAGGTAGAAGGATCACTTGAGCCCAGGAGGTCAAGGCTGTAGTGAGCCATGATTGTGCCATTGCACTCCAGCCTGGGTGACAGAGTGAGATCCTAACTCCAAAAAAAAAAAAAAGTTTTCAGAGAAATGAGTTTAGAGCCCAAGGCTACTTCTGAAACCAGGAATATGAAGAAAGGAAATGGCGTGGACAGTTTGAATCCTGGAATTTGACAAATCCCAAACGCTCCTTCAGGCCACCCTCAGTCGAGCCCACTTGGTGGCAACCCATGGTTTTCAGGGGAAGAGGTTATAGATCCTTGCCTCCCTCTTCCGAGAATTAATCTTCCAGCCCTTCTCTTTCTAAAGACAACTCAGAGAGGCAGAAAACCGTGGTTCTATCTTTTTTAAAGTCCTAAAAAATAATGGCAGATCTGAGGCTTTCTGTTGGTGGGTAAACACATTTGAAAAAGGAATTCATTAAAGTGAGCGGAGGGGGCTTTTAATGGGCTTAAACTTCTCAAGTCCTTCTAACAAAGATACACAGGACTTTCCTTCTCCTTAAGCCCGATTTTCAAATAAAAGGTTGGAACACGCAGGAAATGCACAGAGGCGCACACACACACGTAGCTGCTCGTGGCCGGCACTGAAAGCCCAGAACATGCTGAGAACTAGCTGAAAACAAATCAGCAGGTCATGTCTGACCAAAGCGAGTTCAGTCGTGGCTCCTTAGCAGTTAAATGCCTTCCGTGAGGTTCCATAGGAATAAAAACAGCCCATCTGTGGATGGCTCATCTGCTGAGGACTGTGCTAACTTACTTAGAGAGAGGGAGAGTGAGGGAGAGAAGGGAGGAGGGAGGGAGAAGAAGGAGGAGGAGGAGCAAGGGGAGGGGAAGGAGGGAGGGGTGAGGAGAGAGGGAGGAAGGGT